TAAATAAACAATCATTTTAAATGATTCGATAAATTGTCAATGGGATTGTTTAATTATTAATAATAAAATCGTATTTGTTCGTATCAATAATCGATCTTTCCTTTATTCGATTAAAAGTTTTTTTTATTCTTTATCAATAGAATTACTATCGCGAGTGTGTATACACATACATTTATACATATATATATACATGCATAGAACTAACAATCAATCCTGATCACGAAAGTCTATTTTATCGAAATTACCGGTCTCGTCGGCATTCGAACGTGTAATTGAATTTTCGCGGAAAATTACTATCACCAATCGGAATTCTGTTTACTAATCTTGTTAACCGTTCATGAAATGTTACGTTCGTTCGATACACTAACAATAAATCAATATTTAACGACTACGAGTGAGATTTTATTTGATCATTTTTCTCTTTCTTTTTTTTAAACAATTTTTTTTTATCGTTCTATCATTTAACAAATATTATATATATATACAATGTATTGTAAACATATATTTATTAATTATTTATAATCGAATATATAAATATGTTTCGTTTAAAATAGAAAAAAAAAAAAAAGAAATTAAACAATAGATAACGTTATCTTTTTAACACAGATAAACCATTATTATTTTTTTAATAGTTATTTCATAATACGAGTTTCGCGTTGCACTTAAAACATACCACAGAACATTCGTTGCATTTAAAACACAGCATTGTGTTAAAGTAAGTTCATTATAATTATTAAAAGCTTTTAAACATGCCACACGATGCTTTCTTTCCTTTCTCTCTCTCTTTCTCTCTTTAATTTTTTTTCTTTCTTATCAGTCTCTCGGTTTGTTTCCACATCGCATCTAATTGCAAATATCCAGGAAACGTGTAACAAATTAATTAAACCAAAAAAAAGAAAAAATAAAATGAAAAATAATTAAAACGATAAGTGTCTGACACGATAATCTTTATTAATTATATATTGTTAAGATTATTTAATTTGTAAGAAAAAAATTGTTGATATAAAATATTTGGAATTTAGATTAGAAAAAAAAAAATAAAAAAAAAATAAGAAAAAAACCAAATTAAATGTCATCTAATTGCAAGTTAAAATACTTAAAAGTAACGTCAAGCGGAAATCTAAATATAATCAACGGCATGTCGAGTCACAAAATCATCAACCGGTTGCGTTTGTTGTACGTTCTCGACTTAATACAAGGAGAAATAAAAAGAAATAAAAATGAAGAAAACAAGGGAATAATCATGAAGAAGAGAAATACATATATATATAACATTCTTCTTCTCCCATTGAAATTAAAAATGTTTATCGAATGGAAGGAATAGATCCCCGAATCACGAACTACTTCTATACTTCTCAATTCCACATCTTTCGCATGGCCTTTAATCAGTGTTTATTGTTAGTAATTTTTAGTTCATGGTCGAATATATCTCTCGGCGTTTCGTTTAATTTAGTTTAGTTTAGTTTAGTAGTTTCATACGTCTTCGTAATATCTTTTAACGAATGAGTAAATATACAGGAAAAACAAAAATGTAAGAAATACAAATTATTTACTGAGGAATGAAAAAGAATGAGAGAGAAAGATAGAGAGAGAGAGAGAGAGAGATGATAGAACAAGACTGACAATTATAATTAAAAATGTCAACTTACATTTTTAATATTAATTTCAATGAAATACAAATTTTGCGTAACGCGTGATAATACAAAGTGTGTGCGAATTTAAAAGAAAAAGGACAAAACTAAGAAACTTAATCGTACGATATTTAATAACGTCTCATTGTTAAGTGTCTCTTTTATTTCTACGTATTGTTAATTATACCTAAGAAAAAAAGAAAAAGAAAAAATATTCACCCACCAACTCTACGCAGACAATAAACACACGAATATGAATATATAGAATACCTATATATATATATATTTATAACAACTACTGATGAAAATATACGAACTAAGAATATAAGGAAACGATTTAATTTATTCAATAATCTTACATATATATACCTAATGCAATATCTAAATATATAAATATTACGAATATTACGTCACATATATATATATATATATAAGTGTCAATAAAAAAAAGAAAGAAAGAAAATAAAAATAAAAAAAAAAGGAAGAAAGTAGTAAGCTCTAGTACGCAGTATATAAATCGTGTGTGACTCGTGTCCTATTCGAATCCACGCCCGTTTAGTATTACGTCATTTACATAGCAAGAAGAGAGAGAGACACTAACGTTCACACTATTACACACTACTACCTAGAACTTGTAGTAAAAATACGTCTTACGGTCATCTTACGTTAGATGTATATTATGAGATAGAGGAAGGAAGAATAAGAGAGAAAGAAAAAACGAGAAAAAGAAAGATAGAGATAAGTATTGTAGATAGAAAAAAAAAAAAGAGTATACTAACACAAATATATATATATATATATACACGTAGAAGCAAAACGCATATACACTTACGAAGAAATCGGCTCGTCAAGGCCCTTAGCTTCTAAAGAAAGATAAGACCATACGTGAGATATTACGAAAGGTGTTCATCGTTTCATAAATTTATTCATTCTTTCTTTTATTCATCTTTCTTTCCTTCTTTCTCTTTCTTTCTTTCTCTTACACACACACTCTCCCTAACTCTCTCTTTTTATTTCTATGTATACGTGTATTTTCTCTCTCGTATTAATTTGATCTATTTTGATTATTTATCTATCATCTTAAATATCTTCCTTTTTTTTTTCTATCATCTCGAAAAGATATGATTAACGATATTATTATAAAAATGATGGAAAGGGATAAGGGAGAGGGGGTGTAAAGATAGAAAAATTTACGTATACTTTTTACAAACACACACACAACAAAACACGTGGAAATACTATGTTAATTATACCGGTTAATTAACAAACTGTTCAACTAATTCATTTCCTTTCTCTCTCTCTCTTTCTTTTTTCCTTGACCCTTCGTCAATGTTTTTTTTAAACGAATAAACAACCATAAATCAGAAAATCAATTATTACAAATTATGAATTTACATATACGGTGATGATAAGACATTTGTTTAACCGATTGTTATATTAGCTAGTATTGCTAGCTAGCTAGCTAGCTAACACGTGCTCGCTATATTATCCATGTCGATAATGCTTATCGATTTTTTTTTCTTTTTTTTTTTTTTCTCGTAACGTATTCTCTCGTTAAAATCGTCGTCATCGTCGTAGTCGTCGTCGTCGTTGAACGACTATTTTATTTGGACTATTCGTAAAATATTACAAAAATATTTCATTTCCGTTAATATCAGTCGGCTAATTGTTGTACGAATTGAATATTAAAAGTGATGATTTTTAAATGAAATTTTGTACAAGTAGTATGATTATTAAAATGTAGATTCATGAAAATGATTACGTACCGGTTAGATTATCTTACTTACTTACTTTTTTTTTTTTTTAAATATCTAACGAGTACTTCTTCTTCGAGATACGATAAAACGTAATTTTAAAAAGAAAATACAAAAGAAAGAGAGAGAAAGAAAATACACTAGATATCTAATCAATAATGTGCCAATTTCTACGAATACCGTAATATTATATCGTATCATCAAAAATACGTATTCGAACCGAAAAAAGAAAGAAAAAATTTACGAATGTTAATTAAAAATAAATGTCATTTTGTTTCGTTTTTTTTCTTCCTTAATTTTTATTTCTTTTTTTATTTTTGATAAAGATAAAAATATTCCACACGTAGACAAAATATTTTCCGAAGAATATAAACGTCGTTGAACGATTAAGAAAATTCGATTGATTTGATTAAAAAAAATATAAAAAAAGAAACGGTGTGCAGGATAAAGTTTAAAAATATAATCAATTTGGTTATTACGATATGCGATAGAAAAATGTTAAAAAAAAATTGTAATTGTAATAAATAAATACAAAATATTAAAGGAACAAATATATCACACACAATTGAACGTTTTTACTTCTGTTTTATATTTTCCCTCCCCACCCCCCTCCCCACCGATATAAACACTATTTAATAATATACTATATGATATATAAATTCGAATGAGAATAAAAAGGACGTAACGCAACACGTGGATAGATAGATAGATAGATAGGTCGAGTTTCGAGACGAAATTCATAACGGTACTATGGTTAAAATGATATCATATTTGCTTAACTCTCACCAAAGATAATATATATATTTAATCTATACTTTTCACGTAGAAAAAATAATTAAAAAAAAAAAATGTGTTAATAATTAAAATAAAAAAGATATTATATATAATATGTAAATTAATAAATAATACCAAATAAAATGATATGTAGTAACAAATTCGAAGATAGATGAATCACAAAAAAAAAAGAAAAAAAAGTAAAAAGAAAATACGAGAGTAATAATGATGTCAGACCGAATCGAAAGAGAATAAAATTATCGATCGAGTTTACTACGAAACGACGAAAGGAGGAAAGGGTACGTTAATAACGTGAAACGAATATATTCGTGTCTGTCTGTCTGTGTGTACGTGTATGCGAAAAGAAGATAAATAAATAAGATAACAAATGGAAAAGAAATTTTCTACGAAAAATATATACGTATAGAAAAATCCTATCTAAGGGAGGGGGTAAAAGAAAAAAAAAAAAAGAAAAAAACACACAATATTTCTCTCTACTAATTAACGCGATTATTATATGATTTACGTTACATTAAAAGTAGTTCAATATTTTATACATACATTCAAACACACCGAAATCCTATTTTTATGATTCACTGGTAGTACTGATCATTGAAAAAAATTAATCGATGAATGATAATGAATGAATCAATCAATTTTCCTTCCTTCCTTCCTTCCTTTTGTAGCTGCTTCCAAAATTTCAGTTACTGATGACGAGGATACTTTCTTTCTTTCTTTCTTTCTTTTTTTCTATCCTTCTAATTGTCTATTTATCTAATTATCTTTTAATCTATCTATCTATCTATCTATCTATCTTTATTTCTTGTTAGACTATACTCACACGAATGGTCGCACGTCGACCTGAACACTCGTTGGATCAACAAACGACTGGTTAGCGCGCGCGCGGTGCGCTTCGCGCTTTCCTCAACATTTGCGCGCGCGTTCTTTTCTTGGGGATTTTTGAAATGGCGCATGCGCATCAAATCACGCGTATCACATTATTCGCCAGAGATTTACTAGAATGGGAAAAAAAAGAAACAGATAAGAACTATTTGATAAATGTCATGTGCGTGATAGATATTAATTAATAATTTAATTTATTAGTTACACGATAATTATATATATAATAATAATAATATATGTATGAGTTATGTCATCAAC